GACACTGAGGGTTGCGATCCGTTGCCGGACACGAAAAAAGATAAAAAGGAAAAAAATAAAAAATAAAAAAAATAAATTTCTTCTTTTCATAAATTACCCAGTTTTAGGTATTCTGTTTTAAGTGACAGAAAATGGACTAATACGGGGACAGGGGGGACTTTCTCTAAGTATGTAGGTTGTAATTTCATTACATCTGGTAACAAAAATGTCATATTCCACTTTGCGGTGCCAGGGGCACTGGTTGACAATCAGAGATTAAAAATCCAATACACCTAAGAAGCAAAGGATGAGGATACATCTGTGGCTGCTAACTATAATGATAAAGTTTCTTTTCTTTGTTGGTGATGTGATTGACATGAATGCATAAACCACAGGCACAGCTGCAAACAACAAGTTCAGACTTGAAACAGTCCACTAGGCACCAGAAATTTTCTCAAGCCACCACCGGTAGTGCAGACTGGATACAGTTTTTAACCCCCTCCCTGCCTGTTCTCTCTTTCCTTCATTTTATTTTATTTTTTAGCTTAGAGGCAAATTTTTTCTCTGAAATTAGAATTGTCGGCGATTGGATTTTCCACATAAGCTAATTTTTCAGATAACTGACATTTGCACCTTTAAATACTGTAACTTTTCTTAAATTTTTTGTGTTTTTTTGCTTGGGGAGTGGNGACACTGAGGGTTGCGATTCATTGCCGGTCACGAAAAAAGACAAAAAGGAAAAAAAAAAAAGAAAGAAACTTGATCCCCGTTGTAACAGTGCTAAGAGGGTGGGAAATCCAATTATGGTATTTGAAAGGTCGGACCTTTAAGAGGTGATTGGATTGTGATGACTATACCCTCCTGAATAGATTAATCCATTCATGGAGTAACGGGTTAATGGTTTAATGGGTTATCATTATGGGTGAAGACTGGTGACTTTATAAGGAGAGTACATGAAAGAGCTCTTACCATTTTGTCACCATATGATACCATGCATCACCATGGGACTCTGTATACAGAGTCCCTACCAAGAAGACCCTCACCACGTGCTCCCAGGACCTTGAACTTCCCAGTCTCCGAAACTGTTAAAAAATAAATTTCTTGGGCCGGCCTGGTGGTGCACTGCTACAGTGCGCCGCTTGGGATTGCGGCGGCGCTCCTGCCGAGGGTTCGGATCCCACATACAGACCGGCTCCCGCTCACTGGCTGAGCG